TTTTTTAGAAGCAAATTATAAGAAAAACAAATAAGTTTATTATAAGGAAATTCCTGACTACACCCTAAGCTCTAAGCTATAACAAGTAGTTTCCACATAAATTTATGCATTTACGTTTTGAATATAATTACGCAAAATAGTTAAAGTATTTAGTAATCAAACAAAAAAACATATCATGAGCTAAACTCATGAATGACACATGAATTTGCATGTGTTCTCTCAATATATTTAATCCACAGTTTAGGTGTAATTATTCACAAAAATTAGAAAATATTGAAATTAATATAAATGATATTATATATTCACTAAAACAATACAATTATAATAAAGCTGAAGGTCTGACTTTTATTAAAAATATTGTGATGAAAAATTGTTTGAATGGTGTTTCAAAACTTTTATACTATTTTTATAACATACAAAATTATTGATAATTCAGACAACTTTTCATCACTTTATAAACACATCAAACAAATTAGTAATAATGCAAATAATATGAGTTTTGTTGACAGTAATGGTAATTCAATCACAAATAGCAATGAAATAGTGAATAGATTTAAATCTGTGTTTGAATCAAAATTTTGTGTCGACAATAATATATTTAATCCACAGTTTAGGTGTAATTATTCACAAAAATTTGAAAATATTGAAATTAATATGAATGATATTATATATTCACTAAAACAATACAATTATAATAAAGCTGAAGGTCTGACTTTTATTAAAAATATTGTGATGAAAAATTGTTTGAATGGTGTTTCAAAACTTTTATACTATTTTTATAACAAAATTTTAGATTTTAAAGCTTTTCCAAAACAAATGAAAATATCTATTGTTAGCCCTGTTTTGAAAGCAAATAAGAATAAACACGAATTTACTTCATATCGGAGTATTTCCGTTCAGCCAAACATATACAGGGTGTTTGAGAATATAGTTTTTAATAAATTAACACCGTTTGTAGAAATAAATAACATTATACCTGATTGTCAATATGGTTATTGCAAAGGGAAAGGGTTAAACAATTTGCATATTGATGTACAGAAAATAATATAAAATGCATTTTATGAGAATATTATTGGTATAGATATTATTTTTCTCAATCTTTCCGATGCCTTTGACTCTATTTCCCATAATTTACTTTTGGAAAAACTGAAATATTATAAAATTTGCGGTAAATTTCATGACATTTTATGTGATATGTTTAGTGAGAGACAACAAATTGTTAAATACAATGATTGTATGTCCAATGCAATCAAAATTACATCAGGAATTTTACAGGGTGGCGTTTTGAGTACAATATTTTTTAACATTTATTTATCAGATATAATACATTATGTAAAATGTCATTTGTTTAAATTTGCTGACGACCTGATAATTTTGAACATTATTTATAATGATTCAGATTGTATTGAATTGCAAACAGATCTCAATAATATCACAGAATATTGTAAACAAAATGCACTAAAACTAAACGCAAACAAATGTGAATATTTGAGAATTACACACAAAACTACACAATTATATGATTATAAATTAAATGATATTTCAGTTCAAAATGTAAAATTTCATAAACACGTTGGCTTAATATACGACACAAAGTTAACATTTAATTATCATTGCGATATGTTATGTGAAAAAGCGATAAAAAAGTTTTATACTTTAAAATATATCTGCAATAGAGTCGATGGTAAAGTGTTTTTGAAATTATATTTAACGTATATATTGCCTGTATTAGAGTATAGCAACCTCTGTGTGACATACACTACAACTCAATGTGAAAGGTTGGAGAAAATACAACGAAAAGTTACGAAATATATTTGTAATAAATTAAATAAATATAATCTCAATTATCAGCAAAGACTTGAATTATTAGAATTAAATACATTGGAAAAGAGACGTAAAATTCAAAAAATGAAATTATTTTATAAAATAAAGTTTAAGTTTCCAGAGATATGTAATGATTGGTTAAATTCTATTGAATTTTATGAAACATCACGTCAAGGAATAAAATGTAAAAAATCTGTGAATAGATTATGTATATTTGATAAACACTTTTTTGATTACTGTATAAAAATTTTTAATGATTTACCTTTTAATGTAAGAAATGAAAATAATTTTAATTCTGTAACTAATTTACTCAATCATTGTTTATAATTACTCATTGTATTTCATTGACAAGTTCTTTGAATGAATAAATATTATTATTATTATTATAATAGTGAAAGTATTTTAACAAAAGTATTGAAAAATTTAAAATATTTAATCCATTTCCCGAACTGTGGTTAACAAATCGAATCGCTCTGTGAACCTTGTTTTGTTTTAAAATACAGCTTTATTTGCAATAGTGCTAAAAACACAAAATGTAAATGATCTGTAAATTATTTACCTTGTTAAACTGTGTTGTACAGATACAATATATAGGGTGGAGATTAATCAACTATACAAAAGTAAACTCGAATAACTCGAAAGGTATTCGGTCTAGAAATTCAAATGATATATCAAAATACTCATCAACTGCGGGAGTTTTTGTTATGATATTGGCAATATGTTTGACCTCCTATTTTAGAAATAATCTCAAATAAAGCAAAATTTTGTCATTTTTTCCATAGACATAATGTTAAATTCAAACTTATTTTTGAGCAAAATCCTGAAATAGGTATAAATTTAATTTTGCTCCTGTTTAAGAATATGTAATCAAAATTCTTGTACTGCATGTAGTTTTTGTATTATAGAAGATTTTTCAATATTTCAGATATTTAAGATTGTTTCAAAACTTTTGCGTGTCGGATTTTGATCACCATTTGGGAACAGCTAAAGTGACAATATTGTCACTTCACACATATATAGTTCCATGTCCGTAAATTATTTGCACATACAAATATTTTTGGTCACGTGACTATATTATTGTAAAAATGGACCATTCGCCAGACTATGGACAAAATGGCAATAATTTGGTAGTTTTGAGATTACTTCTATAATAAGAAGTCAAACATATTGACCATATCATAACAAAAACTCCCGCAGTTGATGAGTATTTTGATATATCATTTGAATTTCTAGATTGAAAAATTTAAAATATTTAATCCATTTCCCGAACTGTGGTTAACAAATCGAATCGCTCTGTGAACCTTGTTTTGTTTTAAAATACAGCTTTATTTGCAATAGTGCTAAAAACACAAAATGTAAATGTTCTGTAAATTATTTACCTTGTTAAACTGTGTTGTACAGATACAATATATTTTGCTTAAGATCTTTAGTGGTTATGTGCTGAAAGATTTCTATAAAAGGTTTATTGCTGTGTAATTAATACTCATATTCGTGTGTTACATACAATAATATTTACCATAAAATTTTATTTTGCCTNAAGGTTTATTGCTGTGTAATTAATACTCATATTCGTGTGTTACATACAATAATATTTACCATAAAATTTTATTTTGCCTTTGTAAATTTTATTTATTTATACAATGCAAACTTTCCACATGAAATAGGCAAAATCAGAATTAAATTGTTTTTTATAACAAATGCATTTCAAATATGAGACTCGGTAAAAACTCAATTTAGTGGTCAAATTTAACCGAAAATTTTTGAATGATGACTTGATGTGAAAGAGTATTTAATGAGTGAGAAAACAATGGCATTCATTTGTCTGTATGTCTTGTGGGCCAGAAGTAATCCTCTCCCGAAGAAGTTTACTCCCGAAATAGCTTTGGCACAATGACCATGGCACTTTTTTAAAAAGAGATAATAAAATGCCGTAAAGTGTTTTCATTCAAAGATTAGATTAAGAAAATAACAATTTGATAAAAATTTTAACAATTGATCCAGCCAATTTAAAAATATCATCACATTGATTTGTTAAATATATTGGTTGCCATTGGATACCATTGCCAAAGTTATTTCGGGAGTGGACTTCTTCGGGAGAGGTTTACTTCTGGACCACAAGACATACAGACAAATGAATGCCATTGTTTTGTCACTCATTAAATACTCTTTCACATCAAGTCATCAATAAAAAATTTTTGGTTAAATTTGACCACTAAATTGAGTAATATACCGAGTCTCATATTTGAAATTCAATGATTATATTGTATAAACTGATAAACATATTATTTCCAATTAATTTGATTATTTTTAAATTAATGAGAAATTCAAATAAATTTTTTAAATGGTATAAAAGTGGCTCATTTTTGTTAGATAATCATCATTCAAGCAGATTCTACAATTTAATTAGCATAATTTGGTAACTAATTTTAAATTATATAAAATTAAAACATATTTTTATTAACAATGTATTATAAATGTAAGTTAATCTATAAATAATTTTCAAAATAAAAAAAATAATTAATGTTATTTGTTTGTATAGTATGTCTATTGGTTTTGGTAGCATTGGTCAAAGTAGGCATGAGTGATGCGGCTAAATGTCCGGATGTGCCTATACAATCAATTTAAATTTAAAATGTATTAGTCTAATAAATGACATTATTCGTGTTTAACCCTGATATTTAGTGGCCAAACCTTATGGATTAATCTTGTACTCTGGAATTAAAAGCTGTAATGATAGTGTACCATGTACGCTTTGTCGGGCTTATAATGTTTTAATTACGGTCTATTTTTATACTGGTATAACTTTAAATATATTTTGGATAAAATTAAACCTATGTTATAAAATATTGTGATAGATTATATTTAATTCTCTCTTTTTCTCTCCCCATATAAGTTAGTTATTTATTCAATCATGCACTTCTATTAAATACTCAATACAATTTAACCAACTCATAATTAAAACACAAACAGATGTTTGCAAATTAAATAGTTATTTAATTTCTGTATGTGATGTAAATATTAAAAATAAATATGATAAAAATATTTATTATTTTGCTATTCACCACAGGTACTTATATTTTATTTATAAATAATTCTTAATTGTTTAAAATATACTTGTTAATTTAAATATTATATCATTATTTAACAAATATTAATACACAAAATGTTTTAATTAATCAGCTAGTAGAGTGACCACATACATTGAAGTGGAATTCGATACAATACTCCGCCCTCTCACCGGGTTTGGTGACAAAGAGCACCCAATGGTCAACAAAGCGGAACATTTTAAGGATGGCTGCAAACAGTAATATCTTATTAAATAACAAATTAATTAAACAAATAAAATGCAATAATTACCTCAAACAAAACACGCATACAGGTTAATACCAGCGGCGCCACATCTAGTGAAACACTTACAACAATACGACTAAGGTCCATTATCAAAGCAGTTTATACAATATTTTAGCAAGGATTTAAATGGTGGCTGGGTGGGTTTGTGTAAACAAACAGCTACCGCATCCGTATCTGTGTATTTACCTCATTATAAAAAGATACTCGACATAAATCATGAGTTAGCGCCGGTTAAAAATGGCCTAATACGGGCACTGGTGGCAGCGTCACAACCGGGCACTACCAATAAGATTGGCGATATATTATGGTAAAGTATTATTAAATGTTCATAATAATTATAATATAAATTGTCTGATTAAATGCATGTAATCGCTATTTTCAAAAATCAATGATTATTAATTATCTAATAACTTAAAATTATAATTATGCACATTTTTTAATTATTTATTTTTGTTTAATCTATCATGTTTAGTTTTATAAATAAATGGATAAAAACCACCAGGGAGCTTTTACCAGGCGATGCTCCGCGAACGATATTCAAGATAGGCATGGTCACTATTGCTAATTATGTGACCAATTGTGGTCACATAGCGAACACGCAATGCGAGTGGCCATCACTGCCATACTATTGATTGTTAAAGCGTTGGCCAACATTGACTCTATTAATAATTAATTCATACATTGTGATTAAAATTATTTTTTAAAACTAATTTACAATGTTAATGTTTATAAAAATAATTTTATTGTGATTTAATTCAGTTTTTTGAATAAAATTAATTTTATAAATTATAGTTTTATTTTATATTGAGTAGTAAATTGTTTATTTACTGCTGTAAATCTATCTTAAACCAAAATTGTTTATTCAAAAAAAATTATATTTAAAAAGTAATTTATTAACTAAAAATGTTTTAAATATAGCGATGTTACACAACAAGACCAAACGACCGGCACCATTCGACACGCAAAACCTCTAGATACTGATACTCAGCCGGTAAAGTATCTGCACCATTTTTTATTACGCTTATCTGATGATCGATAGCCTGCCTAATCTTATCACCAAAATCATCAAGCCACCCACCGATACACAATTTCACCCTGGACTCATTATTCTCTGTGATAGCCCTAAAAGTCTGAGCCATAATGTTTATTGACTTAGTTATGGCTACTTTAAAACCGGGTAAATGATGCCCGGAGTCAGCACCGGGAGTACCAGTAAGCGTATTGCGTAGGAACTTGGCCATTTTTATCACAGCAACCCGTCTATCGTTAACCCAATCATTGTACGCCTGCTCAGCGTCGGAGTGATCTGGCACAGTTTCCAGATTGTTTATGACCATGTATCCTAGTTTGGCGCTAAACAAATCGAGAAAATCGGCCAGGTCAGTTCGGCCGGCGTACGCAAAATTATCAGGTTCGCTGACCACCTGCCAGTAGGCCTGCGCCAGGTTTTCAGCGCAAACCTTCCAGTCATCGGCGAATGGGCCGGCCATCGCCGCATCGAGACCCTGGGCCTTAAAACAATCCACCAGGTTCACTATTATATCTATGGGGTTATAATTAGCAGTTAGTATTGTAAAATGTTTAAGTAATTTGTATAATATTGGCAAATAGTATTAACTTACTAGAATCTTTTTCTTTGCATTGGCACTTGGTTAGAAATATTACAAATACTATTATTTTAACAATATACACCATGTTAAGTCAGGCAGATTATTTTAATCATAGTATTAAATGGGTCTGCCATATTTCTATGATTGCAAACTAGTATTTTTATAAATGGAATTATGTTTTATAATGAAAAATTGTAGTTACATTTAATTGTTTATTTAATCAATGTTATTTGACATTCTGTTTAAATGTAGTCATGCCATATTTAGTTATTAGAAAACAAATAATTTCATTGTGACTAATTATAATTGTGACATTATAAATTATTATTGTAACGGTATTTAATAATTAATTTAAATGCAAACTATCATTATTAATAATAATTGGTACTAGCAAATTAAAATTAATTATAACTATGTGTTTGATTATAATTAACGCAAAATTAAATGTAGCAAAATGAATTTTTAATTTTTTAAAAATAGTTGTTAATTATAATTAAAAATATTAATTTAAAATATTTAGATAATTATAAGTTACTTAACATTATAAAAATACACACTAAAAAATAAAAATAAACAATCTGAAAATACAATGTATTAATTATCGTAAAATTAGGACAACTATAAAATATTTCATAAATCAAAATTATTGCAAGCATGATTATTTTAAAAATTATAATTAGGATGTATTTGCCTTGCAATACATTCCGCCAACACTATCAATAGCGCCACCGAATAACAATAGCCAACAACGCGATATAAATTACCAAACAATTTGCCTGATAATACCTCGTAGGGTTGTATGTAGCCACTTTCATAATTATCGCTAAATTTACCATCACCGAATATCTTCATCTCATCAATTGATTTTATCTGAAATAGTATTTTATAGGTCATTATTTCCTTATGCCAGAAACTGAGTATTCCATGTTCCAAGTAGTGTAGTACACTACACAAAGATAATTTGCAAAGGTAATTTGATAATTAAACTTAATTGTTGTATCAGACTTAACGTAATGGCATCAACATTATAAAACACTATAAACTAATATAAAGTGTTATTTAAAATGTCACATTTTGAAATAGGTAATACTAAGAAAATTAAGCTCATTAATAATAGCGAGTATCTTAATTCTCAGAATTTCTATTTATATCCAATTTAAAAATTCTGGATATAATTCTATAAAATCAAATACTAGTTAACATTAATAATCTAACAGGTAATTGAACTTGTTATTATCAGTCTCACCTCTCACTAACTAATTTATATATTATGGCACATTAGATATTAACGTTATACGACTTCACAATATATTTTCCAAGTATTAATATTTATAAATATATGAACTTTTTATCTGTTTAAGCACATAAGAGATTAGAAATGATACTTTATATTGATAGATTAGTACTATATTAGATGACAATAATTTTAAATTAACAAATTATAAGATTGGTAAGTTTAAAGTTCACTAATTTGAGTTATTAAGCACTAGACATTTTAAATTTATAACTACATACTTTGAAAATGGTTTAAAAATTTATTATTTCAAAGTAATAAGATTATTGTCTAAATACTGAAAAATCTAAATTAATTAGTTAAATATTTGATGGTATATAAGTAGCTTATTTTTGTTAGTAAATCATCATTCAAACAGACTCTACAAGTAACTTAATTTCTACGTTTATATTAATATAAATTGCAAACTATTCTAAAACAATATAAAATTTAACCATATTCTATTATTCTCTTAATTAAGATGACAATGAATTATAAATGTAAGTAAATCTATAAATTGTTTTCAAAATAGTAAACGATGACTAATATTTGTTTATTGTATATTATGTCTATTGGTTTTGGTAGCATTGGTCAAAGTGAGCATGGGTGATGCTGTCAAAGTCCGCATGTGCCCATACAACCACCATGCACATTTCAATACGCTGAAGCCACCGGGTGCAGTATTGTTTGCGGAAATAATGAGGACTTTAACTTGACATCAATTCTCACTGAATTGAGTGGTAAACTACCGGCGGATAAAAAGAAGTTTTCATTTATTAATATCGCCAACAAATATATCGATGAACTGCCGGCCAATGCGTTCGCTGGCATACAATTCGATGGTATAGACCTGAGACCTACCAATGGATTAAAGCGTATCCATAAGCAGGCGTTTAACGGCACCGACACCTATACCACTTGGTTGGTGATCACTGGACCCGTAACCGAGAATGTGGACCAGGAATGGGATCTGTTTGGCGCCATTAATACCTTAAACAAGTTAGAGATGTTACAAATAGCTGATAGTAATGTAACATCACTGTCTACGGGAGCAATTTCTGGCATGCACAATTTGAAAAGCATTGGTATTGCTCAAAACCCGATAAACACCATAGCTACCGGTGCTTTTATTGACTTGCCAAGCTTATTTAGTTTGGGTATCGTTGATAGCCCAATGAATATGGTATTCGAACACGCGTTCACTGTCTGCACAGATGAGACAATTCACAGAATATTCATTTATTTAAACTCTGATTCATTGACCGCCGAGTCCTTTGCCGTCAGCGCGTTTAAAGGCACCAAATGTCAAACCAGTCTAACCCTTGACCACAACTCTATTCCTCATTTGGATCGCAAAGTTTTTGAGGGATTTTTACGCGAAAATCCTGGAAATGTTGTCATGAATTCGGACATCGATTGCGTCGATAGTCTTAATAAATGGATTAAAGAGCAATTCCTGACCGAATTTGAAATGTGCGTAATTAATATGAAATTGCAACATTGTCATTATATGGAATAAAATTTAAATGATTGATTAATTATTTATATATTGAAATTTAATAAAATTTATTAAAAGCAATTTTTTGTAGTTTATTTTATATTTCAATTTATACAATTGAATCCATTTAAATTTTAATCATTGGAAATTATACATTTTAATTTTTTCAATAGATTATCATTTAAATTTAAATTAGTATGGCAAATACTATAAAAATTCAGAATAAATTAAACAGAAATTAACAATATAAAATATTGTTATATTTAAAACTAACAAGTGTTTTAAAAAATTAAACCATGATCATCAAGTTTCCATGTAAAGTATCTTTACTCTTTACTTAGCACATGTCAAATGAAATCCAGCGCCATGGGTTACAAAATACAATGTTTTGAACTCATACTCGAATGCCTGTCTATTCCAAACTATTCAAAATATTGTGATGATATATCAATGTGATTTAATAAGGTATTTATAATAATTTTGTTTAACATGGTAAAATTATTAGCTCAATTCAAAACTACTTCGTAAACATATAATAATGGCCGGCAATTGAAACTCAGTCTCCGAGCCGTACATAAAAAGTCATGAAAAGTATAATAAATTTATTTTATACGTTTGATACACACATCCCGTCAAACATATAACCTACATCTAGCTTGGGTGCACGAATGCGTGCACGGGCCTGTTGTGCTTGATGTTTCTATATAGCTATGATACTTACAGTTCACATATCATAGTACATTTATATAAGGTGTGAATTAAATAAATTGATAGTAAAGGGTATACAATATGACCAAATAAGGTAACGTTTATAGTGAGTAATGTGTTGAAATTACAAAGTTAACACAAAAAATCACGTCCAGTTATTAACAAGGTTTGCAAGCTTATGCATATAACTGATAATAAGTTAAATAATGATTTAGTTTATTGTTTAATTATTAGTAAAGATACTTATATTGTTTTGCAAAATGAATAATTCAATACAAATGCAAATGGTATCAAATGCATTATATAAATAGAAAATCAATAATATGTAGTAAATTATAGTAAAATTGTTGATAAAATAAAGAGATAAATGCGACACAACTTACACTAGAGATTCACTTATGAGTGAACTCATATTTGACTCAACAATCAATAAAACTCATTGTGTGACCACATAGTCGTGATTTTTAGTTTTGACAAAATTTTATAATTTCTTATATTATTAATTTCTAGTAATGTTCTATAGTGCTGAAAAGTTTACAATTCTTTTAGATAGATAATACCAATATGTTTTGCAATAAACAACTAACAATTGTTTTCAAATCATTTTTATTAATTCTCAATATATGAATAGTAGATAAGTTAATTAAATTCTATTCTATATTATGACCATGTTTCAATTTTGTATTAATTACAAACATTTCAAAATTGTCCATTCGTTCGGGAATTGCTCTTTAATCCATTGGTTACGACTATCGGCGCAATCGATGTCCGCATTATAAATATTATTTATAGGATTTTCGCGAAAAAATCTCTCAAAAACTTTGCGATCCAAATAAGAGACAGAGTTGTGGTCAAGGGTTAAACTGGTTCGACATTTAATGCCATCAAACGCGCCGACAGCGAAGGACTCGGCGGTCAATGAATCAGAGGTTAGTTCAACGAATAGGGGGTGAATTGTTTCATCTAAACAGACAGTGAACGCGTGTTCGGACACCTGTTTCATAGGACTGCTGTTGTTAAGGACACGAAAACCTGATAAACTTGGTAAGTCATTGAAAGCACCGGTAGCTATTGTTTTTATCGGGTTTCGGACAATACCAACGTCTTTCAAATTGTGCATGCCAGAAATTGCACCAGTGGGCAGTGATGTTAGATTACCATCAGTTATTTGTAACATCTCTAACTTTTGTAAAGTATTAATGGCGCCAAACAGATCCCACTCCCCGTCCACAGTCTCGGTTACGGGTGCGTTCATGAATAACCACGTTGTATAGGTGTCGGTGCCGTTAAACGCATGTTTATGAATACGCTTTAATCCGTTGGTTTTTGTCAGCTGAATACCATGAAATTGTATGCCAGCGAACGCATTGGCCGGCAGTTCATCGATATATTTGTTTCCGATATTAATGTATGAAAAGTGCTTTTCATCCGCCGGTAGTTTACCATTCAGTTCAGTGAGAATTGCTGTCAAGTTTAACCCCTCATTGCCTCCGCAATAAATACTGCACCCGGTGGCTTCAACGTAGCGAAATGCGCATGGTGATTGTATGGGCACATCCGGACATTTCGCCGTATCACTCATGCCTACGTTGACCATTGCTATTAAAACCAATAGACATACTATACAAACAAAAAACATTAATTATTTTTTTGATTTTGAAAACAATTTATAAATTTACTCACATTTATAATTCATTGTTAATAAGAAAAAATAGTTAAATTAGATATAATTTAAAAATAATTTATAAAATTATATTAATTTAATTGGTGATTCTGTTTGAATGATGATTTACTACCAAATATAAAGCACTTTTATACCATTATATTATCAACAAGTTCGTTTATATTTCTCATTAATTAGAAAATAATCAAATTAATTGGAAATAATATTTTTATCAATCATTTTGTAAGTAAGTATTTTGATAGCTTGGCACACCTAAACGCATCTCGGTAAATTCCTCGTAAACTAACTTTATTTGGATTGTAGTATTTGTTTAATTAATAATGATACTTATGTTAGATAAGATCGTACATTCTGGATAAGGTGCTACTGAAAAAATAAGCTCATTTATGATAGCAATTAACTTATTTCACAGAATTATTTCTAAATATACCATTTGAAAATTTTGGATCTAATTCTATGAAATCAGATACGCAAGTAATTGAACTTTTTAATCAGTTTACCTATCACTAATTATACAATGTATATTGTAATTAACACATTACGTAAAAATGTAAAGTTTGTTAACGTTATAAGATTTTACCAGTTATTTTACAAGTATTACTATTAACAAATATATGAACTTTATATCTTTTTAAGCACATTAATTTAAGCGATTATAATTAGCGATATTTAATTTAGACAATGGGCAAATTTTCACGTTTGTTAATATTGAAGAAATAGTTATACTAAATTGATCGGTCATGGTGAATAATCTAATAAAATATACTAATAGATTTACAAAATGTATTGTAAATTATAGGAAAATAGTTTATAGAAAAAAGAGATAAATGCAACTTATTGTGTAATTACGTATACATGATAATTATTGTTGATAAAATATTATTTTAATTAATGCTTATAGTATTAATTTCTAGTAATGTTCTATAGTGTATACATTGTTTATATTCATATTTGTCACAACAAGTTATGTAACATAGCTTTACATCAATAATATCAATATGTTTTGCAATAAACAACTAAAAATTGTTTTCAAATAATTTTTATTAATTCTTAATATATTAATAGTTAATCTGTTATTTAAATTCTATCCCATATTGTGGTCATGTTTCAATTTTATATTAATTAAGAACATTTTAAAATAGTCCATTCGTTCGGAAATTGCTTTTTAACCCATTGGTTACGACTATCGGCGCAATCAATGTCCGCATTATAGATATTATTTATAGGATTTTCGCGAAAAAATCCCTCAAAGATTTTGCGATCCAAATAAGAGACATAGTTGTGGTCGAGGGTTAAACTGGTTCGACATTTAATGCCATCAAACGCTCGGAGAGCGAAGGACTCGGCGGTCAATGAATCAGAGGTTAACTCAATGGATAGTCCGTGAATTGTCTCATCTGAGCAGACAGTGAACGCGTGTTCGGACACCAGTTTCATAGGGCAGCTGTTGTTAAGGATACGAAAACCTGATAAACTTGGTAAATCATTGAAAGCACCGGTCGCAATTGTGTTTATCGGGTTTCGGGCAATACCAACGTCTTTCAAATTGCGCATGCCAGAAATTGCACCCGTGGGCAGTGATGTTAAATTTCCATCAGTTATTTGTAACATCTCTAACTTTTGTAAAGTATTAATGGCGCCAAACAGATCCCATTCCTGGTTCACAGTGTCGGTGACGGGAGCCGTGATGAATAACCACTTGGTATAGTTTTCTGTGCCGTTAAACGCATGCTTATGGATACGCTTTAATGAGATGGTTTTTGTCAACTGAATACCATTGAATTGTATGCCAGCGAACGCATTGGCCGGCAGTTCAACAATATTTGTGTTTCCGATATTAATATATGAAAATAGCTTTTCATCGGCCGGTAGTTTACCACTCAATTCAGTGAGAATTGATGTCAAGTTTAACCCCTCAATGCCTCCGCAATAAATACTGCACCCGGTGGCTTCAGTGTATTGAAATGTGCATGGTGATTGTATGGACACATCCGGGCATTTGGCCGCATCACTCATGCCCACTTTAACCAATGCTACCAAAACCAATAGACATACTATACAAACAAAAAACATTATTTATTTTTTGATTTTTAAAATAATTTATAAATTTACTTACATTTATAATTCATTGTTAATAAGAAAATATGGTTAAATTTTATATAATTTAAAATTAGTTTCCAAACTATATTAATTTAATTGTTTAGTTTGTTTGAATGATAATTTATTAACAAAAATTAGCCACTTTTATACCATAAAATATTTAACCTTTTTTATACTTCTCATTAATTAGAAAATTATCTGATTAATTGGAAATAATATGTTTATCAATTTATTTTATAAGTACGTATTCTATACAATTGTTATGAGGTCCAGAAATTTAGCTTAGTACACCTAAACGAATTTTTGTGAATTCGTTGTAAATTAAATTTATTTGTAAGAGAGTTTGAGTTTAATTGACAATGGTACTTATGTTAGATAAGATCGTACATTTTAGAATAGATGCTACTTAGAAGAATAGGCTCGTTTATGATGCACATGTGGTTTTACTATTGAACAAAGTATTTTAATTTGATCCACTTTATTGCACATACTTTGGGCATTGAGGTGAATAATTGTGATGCCCTTGGTCTCATTGACCAAATCATAGCTGTTGTATATTTCACTAATTAATGACACACGATTTAAATCACAATTTAATTGAGTGTTAATTGGGTTTGTTGTGTTCATTTCGCACATGCTCAACACTTGTTAGTTACCAGCGCTCAGTCATTATCATGCTTGATTTAAATTGAAAACACTTATTACTACCATTTCTGATACTAACACTAAATTATATCGAAACTATATAATATCCGTTTGAAAATTTAATTTTAAATACTTAGAACTAAAAAGTTTAATAAAAGCAAATATAATTAAACCATATGTTGTGTTGTGTTTAATACACAACAAGCGTTCATCACTTGGTTTATAAGATTATGAACAAAACACTTAAGCAACATTTAATTTAAATAAACATTCTCTCAAACTCAAATTAACTGTTACCATGAATACAATCTATTCTAGCATGTAAAATCTTATCTACGATGAATCTTCTTATCCGAGCAAATACTTAATTCTGGATAAAATTCTATGAAATCAGATACTCGTTAGCATTAATAAGTTAGCAGGTAATTGAACATGTTGTTATCAGCCTTACACATTTTTAACTAGTATAAAGTCAATTAATCTTTACATATCTTTACACATTATATTATGGTTGGCACATATTAACGTTATACAATTTTATTGTTTATTTTTCAAGTATTAATATTTAACAAAATGTGAACTTTTTATCTTTACAAACACATTAGCCATTATAATGATATCTAGTTTTGATAGTATTTGTATTATATTGTATAAACCGATAAACATATTATTTCCAATTAATCAAATTATTTTCAAATTAATGAGAAATTCAAATTAATTTATTAAATGGTGTAAAAGTGGCTCATTTTTGTTAGATAATCATCATTCAAACAGACTTTTTTTTAATCAAATTAATTATATTAATATAATGTGGAAACTAATGTTAAATTATATAAAAATAAATCATATTTTTTAATTAACAATGTATTATAAATGCATTATTAATGTTTTTTAGTGCATAGTAAGTCTATTGGTTTTTGTTGCATTGGTCAACGTAGGCATGAGTGATGCGGCTAAATGTGCGGATGTGCCCATACAATCACCATGCACATTTCAATGCAATAAAGAGTTAAATTTAACACTAATTTTCACTGAATTGAATGTTAATCTACCGGCGGATGAAATGCTATTTTCATATATAAATATCGTTAATATCATATATAAACTTTTTTGTACTAACATAATAAGCATTCATTGTAGTATAATCTATGTAGTTATATCTAAAAATCTAACTTATTGTATAATTAATTGGATAATTAACAATGCCAATAATGGCCATAAACAACTTTTTAAAATATTAAACATAAATTTTACAAATGTCCCGCCGTCCAAAATGATAATTAACAATGCGATTAGTCTACGATAAAATTATGCCATAGATCTTATGTTGTAGATCAATGCTCTCTCTCTCTCTCTCTCTCTCTCTCTCTCTTCAAAATCGACATAGATGAGTTAATGCCAACCTACTTGGTTAATATCAGTGATATATTGCTCAACTGGTGCTGAGAAATGTTAGTTCAATTAACGTTATAAAGTTAGTTAATTATTCAGTCTTGAATTGCTATTAAAAACTCAACACAATATAATCAACTCATAATTAAAACACAGACAGATGTTTCTAAATTAAATAATTATTTACTTACTGTATATCGTGTAAAATATTTAAAATAAATATGATAAAAATATTTTGTATTTTGCTGTTGGCAACAGGTATTTATAATTTATTTATACAGTGCAACTTCTCCATAATGAACGGCCAGTTGCACGACAAAAGTGTTCATTATAGGGAGGGTTCATCCAAGGGAGGTTTGAGTAAAATGTCTTATTTTTGAGTAATATTTGAAAATTATTCCAAACAATAGCAATTATTAAAAATGATCAGTAAATTTAGTTTGTTTAGCTGTA